TGTCCCGGGGGTGCTGGGGGGGGCCGGGGGGGCCGTGAAGCGATGGAGGTGTTGGGGTTGCCTCAGGTGCTGGAGGGTCCTGGGGTGCCAGGAGCCCTGGGGTGACTGGGGAGTGCTGGGGGGCCGTGAAGCGATGGAGGTGTTGGGGTTGCCTCAGGTGCTGGAGGGTCCTGGGGTGCCAGGAGCCCTGGGGTGACTGGGGAGTGCTGGGGGGCCGTGAAGCGATGGAGGTGTTGGGGTTGCCTCAGGTGCTGGAGGGTTCTGGGGTGCCAGGAGCCCTGGGGAGCCCTGAGGGTGCCAGCGGGCCCCGTGGGGCTCAGTTGACCTGTTCCTCCTCCCAGGTGGCGGTGGGGATGGCGCTGTAGGGGTCCACCACGAGCCGGGCGCACCGCACTGCCATGGCCAGCAGGAAGAGGCACATGAGCACCACGAAGGCCACGGTGATGCCCTTGTCCACGTCGAGGGCTGGAGGGCTGGTGGCTGGGCCAGGCTCCATGCAGGCAGCCCTCAGGTGCGTAGTCCCTGGCCCTGGGCTGTCGGCCCCAGCATCACCCGGCTCGGTTTGGCCCAGCTTTAAAACATCCCCGCTATTGGTTTTTTTTTTTTTTTTTCCACAGCCACTTTGCCCCAGAGCAGCAGGACCCCCGGAAGCATTAGGTGCACCGAGCATGCCAGGGCTCAGTTGAACCTTCGCAAAGTGATGGCTCAGATTGGAAACGCGACAGGTGCCCGTGGAGGCTGGGAAAAGCCAAAAGTGGCGACAGTGGAGGGTCTCCAGGTTGCTTAAGAGAGATGCTGGCGGACAGACAGATTTGCACGAGGTAGGGGCAGAGGTAGAGGCTTGGCAAGGCCGTCAGGCACAGCCCTGCGGCCTGAGCTGCATGTACATCTATGCCGATATATATATGTATATGCCTATATATACGTATTAAAGTGCCATATGCACCAGGATCAAATGAGCTCAGCCCCAATGACGGCACATGCTGAAATAGGACCCGCAAAGTCCCGTAGCACCCATCGATCCCGTCCCTAGCAGCCCCAGACATGCCATCTGGGGCTGTTCCTTACCTCCTGGCAGGCGGGAGGACAGACGGACTGGCCACTCTGCCCTGCTCGGTGCCGCTTTGGGGCCATGGCACCATCCCCGGGGGTTCATGAATACTGCAGGAACACGGCGGCGTCGCCTTTCAGGCACTCGCAGTAACCAGGAGAAACGATCTCGCAGATTAAATTATCGCCTGCTCAGGCTGAAAGTTTTTCCAGCGGCTCCTTTGTGCTGTGGGTGAGAGCTCATGGGCGGC